CTATTTGGCATGCCATGTGAAGAGGGACTAGTGGATTTTCTGCACAACTTTCTTCAAAAGTGGAATTTATAGGGACTTCGATTTGATTACGAAAACCCCAAATTGTGCAGATTCTTGCATTTTATGGCTTGAACAAAATATTGGACAAATTCAGCATTGAATGTATTAAAGAGTTATTTATTTATTTCAAAATAATTTCCTATGAAATCGATGTGGCTACTACTATTTTATTTCTTTCAATGTTCTTCAATTAGGACCAGAGTTGTATATGGCAATTTTAAGCAATAGAAATAGAAGAACTAATGATCATGTAAGAAATTTTATTTATGTTGTCCATACTCATAAAAAATGCTGAATCAATAAGAAATTTACAATCACGAGAGCACGGTTAATGCTTATATGGTGATTGGGAGTACCAAACCCCCAACATGAACTATTCGACTATTCGGCGTGCCATGTGAAGAGGAAGTAGTGGATTTTCTGCATAACTTTCTTCAAAAGTGGAATTTATAGGGATTTCGATTTGATTACGAAAATCCCAAATTGATCAGATTCTTGGATTTTATGCATTGAACAAAATATTGGATAAATTCAGCTTTGAATTTATTGAAGAGTTATTTATTTATTTTTAAATAATTTCCTATGTAACTAGTGTGGCTACTATTGTTTTATTTCTTTCAATGTTCTTCAATTACGACCTGAGTTATAAATATTCCAATTTTAAGCAATAGAAATAGAAGAACCATTGATCATGTAAGAAATTTTATTTATGTTATGCATATACTCATAAAAAAGGCCGAATAAATAAGAAATTTACAATCACGAGGAAACGGTTAATGCTTTTATGGTGATTGGGAGTTCCAAACCCCCAACATGAACTATTCGGCGTGCCAATTCAAAGTTGAAATTGACACTACAAAACTAAGCTTATGCTTGGCTCATGTTAATGAATATTCAAGGCACTTTTGAAAAATTTAATAGTATTATCACATATACGCCACCCATTTTTATTTATTTATAATTTAAACCGATTTATAAATCTTTTCCAAACATGATTTAAAACGTCAATATATAATCATAATCTCCTTAAGTTTTCAAAATTAAAGTTGAATTTTAACAACATATTTTATAGGATTCATTATTAATATTCACCTATTCAAACCTTATTTTTACCATATTATAATTTAAGGAGCTTACAATGAAATGGAAACAAGCACTACAAGGACTTGGGTTATCGTATTCAAATAGGCTCTAAAATCAGCCCGTTACAATTGGGTTCGTATCTCTCCATATTTGGGCCGACCCGTTTGACCCAATAACGAAGCCTGTACCCCAACCCACCCTTTTCTCTCGTGTTTTCTGTATGTACGTCTCCTCTGTTCCTCATTTCACCTCTCTTCACAATCTCACTGACAATCAGCAACAAGGTACTTTTTACCTTTTTCCAATATAATCTGCTTTTTATTTCTGATTGTAAATAACTTGAGGACAATTTGTTTAGTTACTTAATCAAAGATTCAAAGCATCTTAACTTATTAAATTTTCCCAAATTTTCGCTGCTATTTCTCCATCTACTGTTTTCATTTTCATTATTTTTTCATTTACATAATGCATGCACGAAAAGGTACGTTTAGGATGGAATTCATTTTTTATTGTTAGGTATATTTTTTGGGTTTGGGTTTACTCAAAATCTGCAATAAGTGTTTCATTTGGGCTCTTATTTCCAAGAATGGGACTGTAAAATTCTGCTTAATTAATTGTTTTTCATGATGATATCTTGATTTGTATGTATATTTAGAAAGATAATTGAGATAACGAAAAATCGGGGCAACAGTATGACTTTGTTGAGTGGAATGTAGGGTAATAAGGATGTTGTTAAACCAGACTATTATTTTGATATCTTTAAGAACTCTAAATGAGGCGTTGATATCTATTATTTTTCTAGTTCCAGTACAAGTGGAGGGTGTTAGGAAAGTATGGCACGATAAATTTGTATGACTGAAGGGCAATATTTATTGGCTCGAGCCATTTTTGGTGTGAATAGCTCAAAAGAAGGTCAAAGAAATGACTGCTGTTAAGTATTAAGTACATTAGTATTCTTAAGGTTAGTTCACTCTGCTGTGAAATGACACTTTTTCATGATGAAAGTACACGAAGTCATAAGATAAACTGGTTGGGACTGGTAAACTTAGGGTGCTTTTTTATGAAGTATCCTATTTTTGAACAGTTGTACTGAGTGGCAATCTCCTACAAGGTTAGTTTTCTTGTAGCTATAAGGATAATTAGGCAGCAACATTATGAACTTTCTGCCTATTCTGCTTAAATGGATTCTATGTTGTGAAGGATGTCAAAAATGTAATCTGGTATTTGTTTGCATTGAAATAATTTGTCACCCTCATTTGGGGATTAGAGTTTAGAAAGTAAAGGAAAACTAAAATACACAGAAGTTCTCATCATGTGTCGTTCCTAAAGAAAAAATGAAAGTACAAACTTGGATAAGAAAGCTTTCATAAATGTATATTTTGGAAATAGAATGTTTTCCAATTGGAAGAGCAAGGATGCATCGTCAAACAATGACAAATATTTCACTAGGCTCGTGTTGAACCCAATTCCTTTCTGCACAAGGCCTTCTATTCCAAATCTGTTTGCTTTCCCTTATACTGAAACATAGAAACAAAAACGAGGCTTATTTTGATGTTTGTTTCTTTTGTTCTCCATTGATATCCGTTGTCATTTCCAAGATCCACCGGAGTGGTCATTATTAGGAACTTTTGCATGTTTATGTATTCCGTGCTCATTTCATGTTTTGTAACCATGGATTACTGCTAAGGAGTTACTTAAATATTGTAACCTCTTTCACGTGATGCCATTATTCTTGTTTGATCACATGCTGTTGTTACTGTAGATATGTTAATGATCGCTAAAGATTATTTTGATGTTCAATATGAGGATTTTTCTCCTATACTGTAGTATTTCTCTTGGTCATTTATCCGTGTTATTATTCTCCTTTTGGTGTTTAGGCAATGGGAACCTTTCCTAGACATTATTCTTGTTTAATGATCGCTAAAGATTATTTTGATGTTCAATATGAGGATTTTTCTCCGATACTGTAGTCTTCCTCTTGGTCATTTATCCGTGTTATTATTCTCCTTTTGGTGTTTAGGCAATGGGAGCCTTTCCTAGACATTATTCTTGTTCATTCACTACTGATTTTAATGTTGACTGACATTTGATCTGCCTAGGTAGGTCAGTGTTTTTGAAGTCCATGGGAAGTTACTAGTTACCATCAATGTATTCTAAATGATCAGTTGAAGGGGATGGACCTGATTCTACGCTAGTCCATACAAGTGATAGGCTCTGGTGAAGGCCCAAGTCTTATGGTTGCCCATATTTCTATTATTCTCCAACAATAATTCGACCTAAGAGACAAAAGACCAAATCAAGGACTGCAGCTGCTCAGATTGAGAAGATGTTGCTTCCTGGCAATCGCCCAATGCGTACATCAAATGCAAATGCATGTACTGTTCTTTGTTGGGTTCTGCTTTTTTATTTTTATAGTCATGGATATGTTGATTTATCAGTTGACTTTGTTGTCAATCAATGTTTAAGAAGGTGTAAATGGACCACAAATCAAAAAGTTATAAAAAACAAAAACAAACATTTATTAAACCATAAACAATCTCAATAATTCTCCATATAATTAAGGCCAACATAAAACAATTAGTAAATATTCAATTGTGAAAGAATCTTCTCTTGTTTCTTGGAAGTGACAAGACGTAGGGTAGTCTAGTAGGGTTCTTTAGTTTTTCTTTTAATTATTAAGTCCCAAAATAAAAAGAATTGACAGACCCGATTTTATTTATTTTTATTTGTGAACAAGATTGGCCCATTTAAACCCTTTTATATATGAAACTCACGCTTAGACTTTCAAAAGAGGAAAAGAAAAATTTGAAAAGGAAAAAAAGTCAAAGGTCACAAGAAAACTGAGAGCACACCTCAAGACGATCGACGAGGCACTGGCCTCATTTGAAAAGTTCTATAAATACTGCCTCAAAATGCAATATGTGCGCCTCACTCTAAGGCAAGATGCCTTTCTGAACCACGATGTCAATATTTCCCTTTCTTGATGTAACTTCATCAGTACTGGTGCAATATAGATCTACTTTTTTCACTCAAGGATGTTATGAACATGCTTAGTGCATGTTTTGAATGTGATTATAATTTAATAACTTCTAGTCAAACATACTTTTTTATCCACACATTTAGTAGGACCCTCAAATACAACCCACTCATTATCCTTATATTCCGAACGATCCACAATTTATAATCACTCAACTTTATTTGATCACTTTCCAATCATGCACTTGATCCCAAGAACTATTATCTGTTATTGCTGATTTATTGCAGTCAATGTCACCAAATCTTCTCACGGATAGTTCTGGAACAGAGGATGATGACCTACTGGTGAGGTTTTATACACTAAAACAGATGCAATATTTATATAGGAGTAGGACCATGATACTTACTTGGTTGGGTCTAAAAGGTTTCAAAGCTTCTAATTTATATAGTTGGTAGGTGTCATTTGAATGAATTTTGTTGTCTTTTTTTATAGATGCCTAGGTATCAAAGTTCTGGAAACCAAGTAGATAACAACAGTGCCAACCAAGATGAGTTAACACCGCAGTTTGAAGGGCTTCGACCTCGTTGCTTGAGAGGACTTGCTAGAGAACAATTAAATCTCAAATCTGATGATGAACAAGATACATCAAAGGAGAAAGGGAGCAAGAATGAGCAGAAGATTTGAATGATGTGGAGGATAATGGGGCTGATGATGGAGAGGATGAGGGTGAAGATGGAAAAGAAGAGGGTTACGATGAAGAGGGCGAAGAATGGGAGGGTAGACGTAGATATGATCTCCGTAATCACCCAGGTTCCCCAGGATCTCTACTGAGGAGAATAAACAGAGGCCAAGATGTACTTGTAGAGTACTTCGTCAAGGAATGGGAACCAAGGTTAACAGGGATGGAAAAAAAGGTGGATCGCGTGTCTGTTTGCGTCATCGCCTAGCACAAGTGGAAGACTCTGATGATTCTCTTCTTGTAGATGATCTGGATCAAGGTCCTCCCGTACCTTGGGGGAGAGGTAGTAGCAGATCAGGCCCATCTTGGCTTCTTGGGGGATCAGTTATTGACAGGACAACATCATGGAGTCTAAAAGCCGCTGCTTTTGGTTGGGCTCATCAGAATGATACTCTTGCTAATTTGACTTCTGGTATTCAAACTCCTGGGCCAAGCTCTAAAGGAAGGGCCGATATTTAGCCTTTACAAGTTGGTGACAGCGTGAGTTTTGATGACATAGGTGGGCTTCTGTATATATTGATGCTTTGAAAGAAATGGTGCTTTTCTCGCTGCCGTATCCTGATTTTTTTGTGAGTTACAATATTACCCCTCCTAGGGGAATCTTGTTATGTGGTCCTCCTGGCATGGGGAAAACACTGATTGTACAAGCATTAGCTTGTGCTGCTTCAAAAGCTGGGCAGGAAGTGAGTTTTTATATGCTGAAGGGTGCTGATGTGCTGAGCAAATGGGTTGGTGAAGCTGAAAGACAATTGAAACTGTTATTTGAAGAAGCTCAAAAGAATCGGCCTTCCACAATCTTCTTTGACGAGATAGATGGTCTTGCTCCCGTTAGGTCTAGCAAACAAGAGCAGATTCATAACTCCATTGTGTCAATTTTTCTTGCCTTGATGGATGGCCTTGATTCTCGGGTACAAGCAGTCTTTATTGGAGCAACCAACAAGGTTGATGCCATTAATGGAATTTGCGACGCCCTGGAAGATTTGATCGCGAATTTAACTTTCCTTTGCTTGGCTGTGAAGCACATGCAGAAATATTAGATATTCATACTTGAAAGTGGCAGCAACCTCCATCCAAGGAGCTGAAATTGGAGCTTGCAGCTAGTTGTATAGGATATTGTGGTGCTGATTTAAAAGCCTTGTGCACTGAAGCTGCCATACGTGCTTTTCGTGAAATATGTCCTCAAGTTTACACAAGTGATGACAAATTCTTGATAGATGTTGAATCGGTAAATGTGGAAAAGTATCACTTTATAGAGGCCATGTCAACAATTACACCTGCTGCTCATGGAGGCTCCATTGTTGCACCATGCCTACAAGGATACCTCCAGAAAGCAATGAGTATGATTTCAAATATCTTCCCTGCTCTTGCAGTTTCGTCAGAAGTGACCAAGCTTTCAATGCTCTCCTATGGCTCTGCAATTTCTCCTGTGTATAGGCCTCTAATATTATTGTGTGGTGGCATAGGTGTTGGGCTGGTAATTGTCTTTGCTCCTTTTATATCATTATTGATAACTACCATGGTGAACTATGCATACTTAAACCTTAATCTTCAGGATCATCTGGGACCTGCAGTTTTACATGAACTGGAAAAATTTTGCTGTTCATTCTCTTGCACTTCCATCACTACTTTCTGATCCTGGTGCCAAAACACCAGAGGAGGCATTGGTGCACGTATTTGGTGAAGCAAGGAGAATTATGCCATCGAGTACTTGCCTCAGTTCCACCTTTGGTGGGAGAATGTGAATGTAATTTTTTTTTTTTTTTTGGGTGATATTTTTTTGTACAACGTTGTTGGATTGTGTGGATAATCTCGAAGTTAATTTATTTTTTGCCAACTTATTGTCAATGCTTAATCACTTGTTTCATAACTCATGTTATATGAAAATTTTCTGTCTCTTCAGGCTCATTTGCAACTTATGGCCGTATTTGAGATATTGTTGGAAGAACTACCATCTGATTTGCCCATATTACTATTTGGAACAACCTCCGCTCCACTTGCAGAGATATATGAAAATCCTACAATATTTTCAGAACATGATGTGTTTGTTTTGGTATTATCAAAATTCAGTCTTATTAGCTATTTCTTTTCCTTCGAGGTACGATAATTCGGTTGATTGATATGAAATCACTATTTTGTTAATTCATATTTATTACTTTGACAATCCATTTTATGTTTCTTGTTGCAAATTAGACTTTTCTGCAATGTTTTATTGTGGATTTTTTTAGATTGTACAAGGGAAGAATAAAAGTGATCAAGGGCTGAAATCTTATTTATTATCCTATCTAGTCCTATCCAATATTGCACACCAAAATGCATTTAATTTTCTATCTAGAGCTCTACTTTGCATTTGATATGAAAATATAATTTTTCAGCTGCATGGGATGCTATCCCAGATGGATCCCTCCTTGATTGCATTTTGTGACTAGATTGCAGCTGAAAGGGGTCAATAGTATCCTGGCCTGATGATTTGCAGGACTCGTGTTGTTACAATCTCCAGTTGTACGGGCAATGGATGTGACTCGGGCTAGCGCATCTTCGTACAGTGTACCCACAAGTTAATCTAGATCAAAGCTATGAAGCCCTAAAAAGGCAGAAGAAACTTACTGACAACTCTCACACAGGTACAATTTATAACATTGATGCCAATTCTATGTTCATACTGGTTCCATTTAGTTTCTGTGGATCAATTTGTTTCATTTTTTATCTTCATGTTGAATTAACCGTTGAGTGCACTATTTGAAAACAATTGAATGACCACTTGGTGTTACTGTACGGGAAAATATTTGATTATAATTCATTGTATGAGTTACTCTTGTACTGGACTGTTTTAAAATCACATAATAGTCCAGAGAGCAAGGGAGTGAGCATCAAAATAAAAAAAATAAAAAATCACAGTGGGAAGTTCTTGTAGCGTCTGTTGAAGAAGAAAGAAAGAAAGAAAGATACAATTTAAAATTCATATTTATAGGTTTAATATTTGAAAAAATAATCCGTTGTGTGGTAGCTTAATTTGGTAAATGATCCTCAAGTATATTCAGCATCAGCTCCTAGCCTTCTACCATAAAAAATAAATCAATAATAAATTGGACTTCAAAGTTACCCAATCATGTTTGGAAATAAAAAGTTAATTAAATGTAACTTTTACTTTCTCTAAGCTTAGCCAAAGATGCTCTTTCAATGAGACTTGGATTTTAATCATTACTACCTAGGTGGGCGGATTTTTGGACCCTGGTTAACTGTAAGGTCCGCAGTGGACGCTGACCCGTCTCTCCACTCTGGAACTTGGTTGGGCCCTTCTTCCTTTCAAGTTGGATAATTTGGCTCTCTAGTTGAGGGCTAATGGGCTACATGCAGATACAGTTGCCAACGGTTAGCGCCTTACCTTGTTCAAACAGTAAAAAGGGTGGGGAATCAATAAGGAGAAAAAAAGAAAAAGAAAAACAGAAGGAGAGGGCTACAGTTAATACATAAAAGTGGGTCTCTCCTTTCTTAACAGTTTCATCATGACATGCAACTATTATTCTTCAGTTTTATGGCTTGTACAATAATCAATTTCATAACCAACAACAGAACTTAAAAGAAGTTTTTATTCTTTTGTGTTATTAATCCACGACATTCGTTATAGATGAACTTTTGTTTTGAGCACTTTTGTTGAGAACCAGTTAACTGAGCCTTCACTGATTTAACGGACATGAAAACTGTATTCTGATGAGTTTGTAGACAGTGATATCTGATATATTATTATGCTAAATGAGCTTTGCTCATTTTATATGAGCCCTAGAAGGCAAACCATGAATCCTTGTATCCAAGAAAAGCTTCTAGATTTGTCCCAAATAGAAAGAAAAATGTTGATACCTGTACTTTCCACCATACTTATTAAACCCAGATCGGACCGGTCCATCTGTCTGGGAGACCGGACCCCAGTCACTTAGCATATTTGGATCGGAAAGCAATTAACCCGCTGTAACTGCCAGTTTTGAGGAAGAACCAGCGAACTGGTTTGGTTAAACTGGCCGTTCTCTGAAATTTCACAATATCACATTAGTTGGGACTAGATCTCTTGGAAAGCATATGGAGGAAACAACCACTGAACCAGTCCTTGTTGTTCAATAAGGAAGCTATATTATATATATATATATATATTGATACAAAAGACAAAATTAACATACCAGCCAAAATTAACAAATATATTATTCAAATTCTATTCAAACTACCAAATATTTTTATAGTATCAATGTATTAAACAATATTACGACCTTGTTTGATCCCCATTTTTATCAAAGTATATTTTTCTCTTTCTTCTTTTCAACCACACATCCTTTAATAAAATTATATTACACGCAAACCCAAAATTTTTCCTTATTTTTTAATCACACATTCTCCATCAATCTACTATTCCAGAATGCATTTTATAACAAAAATGGGGTTCAAACATGCTCTACACGATATAAACACATTTAAAAAATTATTATTGTTATGATCAAACAATTAAGGTTTTAAAAATTGAATTTTATTTCAAATAATAACTAAAATGCAGATAATTCGAGAATTTAATTAATAATTTAAAAAAATTTATGTATAAACATTGAATGACCAGTCCAACCATTGGTTGAACTAGTGACCCAGTAACTTAGTCGGGTCAATGTTAGATCCCGGTATGATAACTATGCTTATTTTATTTCTTATAATAACTAAAATGTGGATGATTAACGATTTTAATTAATATTTTTTAAAGATTCTATGTATGACCAACCGGTCTCATCACTTACCCACTGGTTGAAGCAGTGACCGGTAACTTAGTTAGGTCAATGTCCAACCCAAGTCAAAAAACTATACTTCCCACCCCATAAAACATGTCTGAATTCCATCAAGTTTTGTGCTAATAAATCTAAAACACCCCTTGGCATTATCAACAGTGCAATAGGATTAAAATTTTCAACCAAAATAATAGAAAGGAGAAAGGTAATTTTTAGAAGACAATAAATCTAACGCAAATTTCGGGCTACAGATGTGAAGAAATACTGTGACTAATAGAGATTTTAAAAATTGTAGAATTCGTTGAAATTTGTTCGCAGACCTATTAGAATTAACAATTAGCATATAGATATGAGTCTCGCCAACATAATAGAATTGTCTTTTTTAAATATCTGTGGTCAGAAGTGGGCAGGCTGATGCTGAATCACTGGGTTTGATAAGAGATCATAATGCACACACGATATTTGACTCTAGCATATAAACTTTGTGCACTATTAATGCCAGTTTAAAAAATTCGAGTCCTCGAGTATTTTTCTTTGCATTGGTAGCCATTCATACTTGATATACAGGGTACGGCAGTACTTTTCAAGACCTTACAAGTGTTGAATTACCCTTTAAAATGTGAAATGTGAAATGACTTCTCTCTTGTGTACGTTATTGTTGACAACAGCAAGGCTCCCTCTTGAGAATCCATATGTCCCTTATGTGTGACAGTTCTCTCTCGAGCATAGGTGCAAGTTAGGGGTCTCAAAAAGTAATGGATGACAAATATTGTTTCCATCCAATTGAAGATGTCCATAACATAGAGAATCAAGCTTGGCAAAAATGAAACTAGAAACAATGCTTTTATTGTTAATTATATTTCTTAAGAACTCATTGTCATGTTCATAATAATTCCTCCATATGCTGGTGATTTGAACCTTCTTTTGAATGTCTGCTTTGGCAGCAGAAGAGGTATGACAGTCTCAGGATTCGTGCCACCAAAGTTGTCTCAAGATCCTGAGGCAGATGGCGTGAATCATCAGGCGCTGGAAAGCTCACATACTGATGACCAACAGCATCTAAGTCCTGATTGTAATAGAGGCTGCATATCCCAAGATGTTACCATGTCTGATGGAGAGATTTCGAGTAAAGTCGACACTATCAAGCAGATATTTGTGGAGTCTACAACAGATTATGGCATTCTGCAGCTGGAAAGAGTGTAACACTCGTATAATGAAGGGTGTTTTTGAAACGAAAAATATTATCAGTCCAAAGATCTTAAATCTTCAATTTTGAACTTCTGGTTAGGGTTTGCAGAGGTTCAACCAAAATTTTAGTGTGAGGCCATTTCACTTTGTTGGCATTTTGCTTCTTACTAGTTTTTCCATTGAAATTTGATCCTATCATACTTGAAATATCAGACGTTCTCCTTCCGTAACAGTGATTGTTCATCGCCCCACTCGCTCTCTTTCTCTCCCCTAAATCTTGAATATATTATATTTTGTAAGTTGAAATACCTGCTTAAAGTTAGAAAGTGTAGGGGTGAATCTATAAAAACCAACTGTTTAAAGATTCAACTGCGTTGGATCTTCTGTAGCGATTATGATTCAAGCCAAGTGGTGGAAAATGTTCGTGTAACCCGCTAAATTTATGGAGATTGTACCTTATTATATTGTTGTTCATCGAGTAATCTCTGTAAAAAATGTGCGTACTTGTGTTAAAACAGCCTGCAGCGTATGTATTTGCACACACGGAACGTATTTCTCAAGGGTTCTTTTACCTTGGAACAGTTGATTTGAATCTACCGAAAGCAGCTTAAGACTTGACGGCAATCTGGAAATCCTTGCATATCACTTTGAGTTTGTAGTATTTATTATGCAGTTCAATTTCTATTAAGAGGAGGAAAAACCTCATTTTTCTATACA